TGCTTTCTGGTAACATTTTACATATAGATTACTGGTGTTCTTTTAATTGTTTTAGAAACAAAATGATACTCATTTCTTCTTGGAGGGTGGGAAGTTCTTATGGCCTTAACTATTCTAGGATTTTTAATTATTAAGCAACTACATATATGGGTTACTTTAACCTGAAACTGGAAATATTTTAAATATTTCATAATTGTTTTGAGAGGATATGATGGAAATGCTATCTTTTATTCTTCAGTCATTAATTCACCAAACAAGTATGCAGTGCCTATTCAGTGCAAAGCCCTAGGAACACCCCTAAAGAGCTCAGAATGAATAATTTCTCCAAACTTATTTATTTGGAAAAAAAAAAAGCACTCTGATACAAAGATCATGCTGAGTTCTGGGATACTCTGGTGACAAGACAAACAAAAAACCTGGCATATAGCAGGAACTTATATTCTGGTCTCCTGCCTTTGTCTTCTTTCTGCAGTTGGCTATTACTCTTGCCCTCTTGGCCCATCAGCAGGGGCCAACGATTGGGGAGGAGATTAATGAAACTTCCTGCAGCCATCAGAGTATTTAAATCTTTCCGTTCTCTATCTCCACCATTGGACTCTTCCCTTCAGTCCTCATCACTTAATTTTCAGTTTCTTTCACCTCTTATTACAGACCTGCATCCTCTAACAACTTCCAGATTTTATATGCAGTAGTTAAAATCATATTTGCTCCTGCTTTGAGCACACTACTATGTTCTCAAGCTTCCCGGAATATTTTTTCAGAGTCTGAGTTACAGAATTTTGCCCTACTTTTCCACTTAAAATGGGGCGCTTTATAGTATGGAATAGTTTACATCTTTGTCCTATTCCATTCTTATCCCACTCTGAATTGAATCTGAGTTCTTTAAAATCATGCAGCATGATGCAGTCCACATAGTAGATGCTCAATAAATAATGCACTTGATATATAACTGGAAGACATGTGACAGGTCATCTAGTCTGAGTCCCCTGTATCATAGATGAGGAAACTGACGCTTAGAGGAGTTGAGTGGATTAATGGTGGTACAAACTACAATTGGAGCTAGACTCCACATCTTTTGACTTCTGGTCTAGGACTCTTTCTATATAAGCACGCTGCCACCATCAAATATAAGCCTCTGAGAGATGCCTCAAAAGTGTTGTATTTCTGGCCTCATTGGACCTGCTTGCCTTGACCTGGGCAAGACTTTAACCTGGCTAACCATCTTTGTTTAGGCCCTTTTCACACATTCATTTGTTTGGTCATTATTCAATAAATATTTATTTACTGTCTTCTAATCACATTATACTAAATGCTGGATACATGTAAAAATAGAAAACGTGGTCTCTGCTCTCAAGGAGTTCGAAATCTGTTGCGGGGAAGGGACATAGACAATAATCTAGTAACTAAGTAATTGCAAATATGGGTAAGTGCTGTGAAATACACAAATAGCATGAAGTGGTAGTGGATGGGGAGGTTGAAAATATGGGATGGTTAGGAAAGACTGAGGAGTGACCTTTAAACCAAGACCAGAAAGATCAGAAGAGAGCCCAGTTTACATTCCTTTCTCTCTTGGCTGCTGTCCTTGGTCTGAGCATATGCATAAAACACTTTCCAACCCACCAGGCCATCCTGCCTGTCACTAAATCTGTAGCTTAAGGTTCAACTTTTTTCAAATAAAATCCCCTAGTTAAGTCTCATTATTGAACTTCCTGGTAGAGTTTCCCTCCTTCAAGTTCAAACTCTGGCCACCCTGCCTGCCTCCCATAATTGCTTAGTTGCAAAGAATACGTGATTATTTGACAAACTCCCTGAGGGCAGAGAGTTTATTACTTAGTATATGATCATCATCATCATCATCATAATCCAAACACCTACTAAAAAGTTAAAGTAGTCAAATACTTTATAGGTGGAGTTTCCAAGGGTCTGAATCCTGCATTTTGCCACAGCAGTAATTTATTAACAGATGCCCTTGTATTATGGAAAGGTCAATAGATATCACAAACATTCATAAATTATTTCTTACTTCCAAGGAGTAACTTCTACTTATTCATTTATTTGTCAAACATTCAGTGACTGAATGACAAGCACTGAGCTAGACTCTGTTGGAATTGAAGATGAGTAAGACAAAGCCCATTTCTAATCAGTGAAGCTAAACATATAAGCCTAATAAGAATTCAGTATGATAATTACTAATAGAAATATGATGAGATGCTATAGAAGCAATTGTATCCAAATAGAGAAAGGGAGGTAGGTTCAGAGAAGGCTTCACAAAGGTGAGTCTTAAAGGATGAATAGCAGTTCCAGCAAGTGCACAAGAGGACATTGAGAACGTAGCATGTAGCAACCTACTAAACACTGGATGGAACAAGGTAAACGGACATGACCTTTGACCTCTAGACACTTCACATCAAAGGAGAAAATGATGCAGATTCAAGATTCAGGACATTAGTTAAATAAATATGGTCATTTTAAAAGAACATGAATGTGCTAGCAAAGGGGCAGGTGGTTTTGCATGGTAGTAAGTGAAAAGGAAATTGGAGAGGATTTTCCCCACTGCGGAATTGCCAAAACATTTCAGTTGGTCAGGTTCCTTTCTGTAGGAAGAGGACTTATTTGTCTACTCAAATTAAGCACTAGTATTGATTGGTATAATTTTGCTGTTGTGCCTATAAAATATCTCTAATTACACTTTTAAAAATTGAGTGCCTGCTTCTTTAATGAGGCTGTACATGTAGACCAAGAGGCAGTCACTCAAACAGAACAAGGGGATACTGCATGGTTTAAAATCAGGAAAGGTATGTGTTAGGGTTGTATCTTTTCACCATATTTATTCAGTCTGTATGCTGAGCAAATAATCTGAGAAGTTGGACTATATGAAGAAGAATGTGCCATCAGGATTGGAGGAAGATTCATTAACAACCTGTGTTATGCAAATGACACAACCTTCCTTGCTGAAAGCGAAGAGGATTTGAAGCACTTACTGATGCAGATCAAAGTCTAAAGCCTTCAGTATGGATTACACCTCAACGTAAAGAAAACAAAAATCTCACAACTGGACCAATAAGCAACATCATGATGAATGGAGAAAAGACTGAAGTTGTCAAGGATTTCATTTTATTTGGATCCATAATCAACACCCATGGAAGTGCAGTCAAGAAATCAAAGTACATATTGCATTGGGCAAATCTGCTGCAAAAGACCTCTTTAAAGTGTTAAAAAGCAAAGATGTCATTTTGAAGACTAAGGTGTGCCTGACCCAAGCCATGGTATTTTCAGTCACCTCATATGCATGCAAATGATGGACAATGAATGAATAAGGAAGACCAGAGAAGAATTGATGCCTTTGAATTTTGGTATTGGTGAAGAATATTGAAGATACCATGGACTGCCAGAAGAATGAACAAGTCTGTCTTGGGAGAAGTACAGCCAAAATGCTCCTTGGAAGTGAGAATGGTGAGAACATGATACTTTGGACATGTTATCAGGAAGGACCAGTCTCTGGAGAAGGACATCATGCTTGGTAAAGTAGAGGGTCAGAGAAAAAGAGGAAGACCCTCCACAAGATGGACTGACACAGTGGCTGCAATGATGGACTCAAGCATAACAACGATTGTGAGGATGGCGCAGGACCGGACAGCATTTCATTCTGTTGTACATAGGATCACTGTGAGTCGGAACCAACTCGAGGGCACCTAACAACAACAAGTACAGAGCTTTGAATTGGAATGCACTTTCCCAAGGAAACTTTCCCCTTAAAGCCTCTGAGATATTTTTCAGGTGCAGGAAGAAAAAGAAACTCTACTAACATCTGAGTTTGCACTTAAGTATTTTTAGCATTAGTCACCAGTATCTCATTTGCTTTGATTTTTCCTTCACCATCTAATTTCATTTAATATCTCTGTGATTTTTAACAATATTTCATTATTGTTTTCATCTTCAACTTTTCTAACTTCACTTCTTCACAGCTAAGAAATGACATTTGATTTGATGAATTTAATGTTTCCAGTGCAGAAAATAATTCCACAACATTTTAACTACAAAGGAGTCTTTCTTTAAAAATCATTTGGAAAGCCTTATCGAAAAAGAAAGTTTTCCATTTGTAGAACTTTTTGAATTTTGTTGGTGATGAAAATTATTCCCCTAGATACTACCTATGAGGTCCAGTACACACACCAAAAAAACTTACTAATAAATTTAGGAGATGAATGAAGGGGATCAAGGAATAAGTAATATTTTTTGTTAATGTTAAGATTCTCAAGTACAGTAATATTTTATTATTTAGGGTTTTCTTATTCAGAAACCTCAAGCTATCAGAAACATTTTTACCAACCAGAAAGTGAGCAATACTATAACTACAGTACTATTACTACTACTCCCAAAACCTTTAAGGCCCACGATAGGAACTAGAGCCCATGCAATTTATGCAGGCACTGACCTTGAGCTTATTTATACTTATTGTAAAGAATTCTAGAAACCTTGATCTTCTGATTTTCTCAGCTCCCGCAAATTATAAGCAAAATATGAAACAAATTGGAGACAGCTACTGCTAAAAGTAATGAGAAATGATAACTAACACCCTAATAGAAAAAGAGGCAGTATATAAAGCAGAAATAAAACTTCAAAACCATGGTTCTCTGGGGCCTAATACCTCATTAGTTCCCAGAGATGACATATCTTCACACAGTTCACTCTATGCAATCACTATACTCTATTTTTTAAGGCTGAGAAATGTGCAGTATATTTCAAATGGTGTTCAAATTTTTTATTATTATTATGGGGGAGACTTCTATTTTGAGAAAGGTTTGTATATGAAAAATACCTAATTTTTGTTTTAAAATGCTGGATGAAAGGGGACAGTGTAGAAATTATCACAGCTTGCAGCCCCTCCTGCTGGCCTGTGTGTGCATGAGCATGTGCCTGAGGGCTCCTCAGGGTCCCAGGAACAACTTCCTGCTAGATATCCTATTTGTTTCTTTACCTTTCTCTTTCTCTCTTTCTAGCCGGAGACCACCCCCATCACCAACTCGTCCCACTATAATCCGTCCACTAGAATCCTCCTTGTTAGACTAAACGAAGTGTCTGACATCACAATTAATTACTAATGAATTATGCGAAAGCAGCACATTTGATAACCGTTGCAGTAACTCATGAGTAGTCGCGTGTGTGGACATCAGTGGGCGAGTAACCAGTCTTACTAATGTACTCATCACTTGTTCTTCATTGCTCCTAATGTCAGACTTTTGGGGTTTGACTCCTGAAATCTGCTGACACATGGAGGCTTTAGATGTTATATTGACTACGGTGGGTTTGTGGAGCAGCCCTGAACTTCGGGGACCAGTTGCCGACCCCTGCATATATTTGAAATTGCTTTGGTCAGGTTTTCCAGGTTACCTACCAGGTAACTCATTCAGTATAATCTTTAAGTGAAATGAGATGGTGGGCTTAGACTAAGCCATACATACTTCTTTTCTCAACATTCTGTTTAGGTCAACAGCAATTCTGTTGTCTGTTATTAATGCTACGCCTACTCCATAATCACATATTTCCATCCTCCTGCCTTCCTCTTTATTTCATAGGACTGTTAGAAAGTGATTTTTTTAAATTAGGATTCTGTAAGAATAAAACTTTTCCAGAAGCACAAGATAGTTTGCAAAGGAAAAGCAATGCATTGCTTGCTCACAAGAGCTTCTCCTCATGCCAATGTGTTTTGCTTCATGGTAGAAGCATATCCAACAGTGAATCAAAGCTTGTTTTTCAATAGTCAGTCAACAGATTTGGCGAGTTAGTGTCAGAGTTCCAGGAAGAAGCAAAATATCACATTTCTATAAGTGTTTGGGGAAATGTGATTTCTTTATTCACTTATATATTCACCGCCTCATAGGTTACAGTGATGGCTGACATGAAAAATATTTAATATTTCATATTGATATAGTTTTTTGGCATGGCTAACTATACTTTGACACCAACTCATTTATTTAATTATTTATTTGTTAGTTTTGGTTGGAACAAAAAAACAAGTCTCTCTTCCCCTGCTATTTTGTAATTCCTTCATGTAAGAATTTATCCTAGCTTTAAAGTAGGTTCAGTGTAACTTTCCATCCATGATATGCTTTCTTAATAAATCTTGAGCCTTACTATGGGATGACTGTATTTTAAAGAATGGAACCAGGAATGGAAAGGAAGGTGAGTCAGTAAGAGATGCTGTGGTTTAAGAACAGAGCTCGCGCTTTTTCAGTTGAACAACTTCAGGCGCTCTATCCAGGTCACTCCAGAAGAAGGTATTGAGGCATTGAGACCTAAGTAAATCAGCAATTTCTGAGATTTCTAAAATTTACAGGGGCAATTTAGTCTAGGGGTTAATAGTTGAGTCTCAAGGCTGAGTTTTCGAACTACCAAGACCAGATGACTAGCATGTAGGAAGTAGCCAGAAGCCAACTGGGATTTTGTCTGCTAACTGTTCCCAGACAGCAGACCGAGTATTCACTGAGGAGTGGCGTCCCATGACACTATTTCATATTCTACAGAAGTAAATTACGTTTGGCCAACTGAAATGTCTTCCTTTGAAGGCAGCAAGCATGATTTGTATGTTAACATAACTTTAATTTCCTGTGTAGATTATACCCAAAGCAGACACCCATAAAGTATGAAGTAAAAAAGCTTTTAACCACTATTAAAAAGAGAACTTGCCAAGTTGTAAGGCATTGTATTGAAAGGGTTAACAGCTAGCCCGCTTATAAGAAGCAAAAAATCAGAGAATACAAGCTTTATAAAAAGGGCATTTCAACTTTTTAAGTAACAAGTGATTATACAAAGAACATCACCACCCGAAGTCCTCTCATATCTTATTTTTTCTCATTGGAAAAAAAATTAATTCTGTGAATGGAACAGATGTGCAAACACATACTCTATTTTAAAAATAGTGTCTCAGCTAAATGGAAAAATCTTAAGTAAACCTCCACAGAAAAAAAGAATAATTTGCAATGAGATCTTTTCATAAAACTCCCTCTTTTTAGGATTCCCTTTGCTTCTTCCTTTGAATTCTCTACAATAAGCAGCTAACAGATTATAAACTTCAGGATTTGGCCTTCTGCTAAATGTGGTTTTGCATTTTGCTGTATTTCAAAAATTTCCTTCTGTTAAAGGAAAATATTGTGGATAACCACTGGTGTGTTGTAAGAGCAGCATAAACCAGGTCAAAGAAAGTTGGAGATTTTTTTCCACGTTTCTTTCCACTGATCTTATGGAGTCATAAACAATAGTGTTTGTTATCTTTGGCTTTTACACTTAAATTACAGTCCAGCCATTGCACTGTTGCAATTGTTGCCCTTTGGGGTTCATTGTTGCTCTTTTCTGCTTCTAAATTATTTCTAATAGAACCCAGTCTCCCTGCAATCTCAGCGGTCATGTTGGAGACTATTTCCAGCTTGCTGCAGTACTGCATCACACTATCAGTATGAATCCCATTTCTTAAAGAGTATGTATTCTGCTAAAGGGAGGTGCCAGTGCATCTGAAGCTCTCAGATACATAGTCTGAGGTGCAGCCTGCACATCAGATGGCATGTACCTGAGGAGCTTTCTAAGTGTTCCCCACACCACTTCTCTTTTGTGTGACTTCCTCCTGACTAATTGCTCTGATGTCGTCAGCCCAGTAGACGTAGCTCCATCATGTCTAGTCTAATAAAATAAAACATTGAGTGTGCTTTAGGACTTGGAAAAAATAACCAGTATATGTTTGTTTGATAGGTAAATCTAGCTTTATTGTCACATGCTAAATTTTGCATGCATATTGACTAACCAGAATAACCACTTACTCAATTGTGGACAGATTACTGAAATAGTATTGATTTAGAACAGGTATATTGCATTTCCAAAAATCATCTACCAAGATTACTCTTCTGAATATTGCTTTTAGCTGTGTTTTGTAACATAGAAGAGCAGTAGGGTCTGTTTAGTAGCAAATTTCCTACTTGTTCAGATGCAAACTCATTCTACTCCCAATTATAATGAAACCAGTTCCTGTGATACAACTATAAGCCTTCTGAACTTAGAATTAAAAAGTAGTCATATAGGTTAATTTTATGACATTTTACTATAGACTCTAGCCATAATTCTCAAATATGAAATGGGACCTAATACCAGTATGTGATAAATGTTGATGTTTTCTGTATATAAACATATTTTATATGCATGTGTCTCTATGTATACAATATATACATAGTAAACTTTGTTTCTGTAAGTACATGTATTTTGTGCACCTTTGGGTAGGTAGGTTTAAAAGCACTTGTTAAAATGTTACAAGCATGAGTGTGATTGTATGTGCATTGTGTATATATGTACATGTATGGGTGTAAATATGTATACATGTGCTTAGTATGTGTATGTATGAATATATTTTCTAAACTGTGCTAATACAAGAGGTAGCTTTGGAAGATATGCCATAATACATGATAACAGTGATTCATATTTCATGACATACATGAGGTATACACAGTTTTCCAACTCCAGATTGTATTCCTTCTGAGAGGCACAAACCTCAGAACCACCATGATAATGGTAGAGTGACATCCACAGGCAAGTGCATTGGAATTCGCAGCACTGCTGTCTAAGAAGGAATTACCTTTGCCGATACAGTTTGATTTAAAAAAAAAAAAAGTGTTTAAGATCAGGAAACCTACCTTTTAAGATCTCTAATTAGAATTCTAAATTTTTTTTGGGGGGGTGGGAGGAGTTGTTGGTCTACATAGTTATTTTCTTTCTGTGGTAAACATCAAAAGAGAAAGTAGAGGGATACAACAGTATAATAAAATTAGTGGATTTTTCTAAGTAAATTTGCTAAAAATTCAGGGTGAAGGTACTCAATACTTTGGAGGTAGGTCATCCACTTCTTCCAGTAAACATTCTTCATTTGGCAAATGGTATAAGTATTTTGAAATTGAGGGGAATCTCCTTAGCATTGAGAATAAAGGCTAAATAGTAGATCTCTAAGCTGCGGAATTCAATGGAAGAAGACAGTGTATGAGATTCAAGCCATGACTTTTGTATTATTGCACCTGGCGGACTTGCTAGCTGTGGGCTCAGAATTTAATAATGTGAATGACGCTAGATGAATTTAGAGAAACCATTATTAGTTCACCAGATCACTCAACCCTTTATCAAAAGCTCAAATGTGTCTTCTAGGTAATCTTAATTATCCTGTCTAGTTGGTATGTTTAAAATTATGCGGTGCTCTGTATTGTAAAACTTTAAGATTACTTTGATGCCTGTGTAATATATGCATAGTTATTTGTGTGTGTATATATATGTGTAAGAGTGTGTGTATATATAAGAGTGTGTGCATGTGTGAGAGCAAGAGAGAGGAAACTCAAGGAAGAGTCTCCTGTTTGTCTTAAGACCTGTTCATACTGGTATACTGGTGAGACTTCTCACCTCTTTGGTCTGGAGTTTCACACATGGCTCAGCTCAAGGCATTAATTTCTTTTTTCATTTTTACCCTTGAATTCCTTAAACTTTGCTAATTGTGTAATATTTAAAAAATTATGGTAAAAAAAATTTACTGTGTCTAACCTCTTGCATTGTCTGCTGCCAACCTGATAAAAATTATTCCCCCCTAACCAGAAATTCCACCACTATTACTTGATTTGTGTTTTATTTCATGGGTATAGCCTGTTTTGCTTGCCTGTCTGTTTTTCTCTCCCTTTTGTGAATCAAATTTCTAATATTTCTTTTTTATGAGAGAGTATACAGAGCTAAATGTCGTCTTCTCTGTTGATTCTTTAATTAATATGAGCCAGAATACTTTCTACTGTCTTCTTGGCACTTTTGGGATTTCTTAATGCTGGTATATGGACTCTGTGAATGGAATTTTTGAAGCAAGTTCCTAAAGCCTGAATTATTCTTGGAGGTCACATGCACCTATTGTGAAAATGTGAAGCTGTATCTCTGAACCTGAAATAAATTATAACATTTGAAGGACTCCCCCTTCTTCATTCTTGTATATATTTGAGTCATATCTGTGTATTTCAATAATACTTAAGATTTCTAAATATTTATACCTCTTCTGGAGAATTAGCCCAAAGTTACCAAAGTGGAGAATAATAGCATTTGCATCGCTATCATTAATTTGGGGAAGGATGATATTTTTAAAGGGAGCAAATTGGATAAATCAAAAGCAAGAGAGTGGGAGACATTTTACTCCTGATTTGAGTCAGTGTTGGATAAGGCTGAAGAAG